TACATCTTTGCATGTGTTTGTGAGCTATCTGTATGTCTTCTGTGGAAAAAGTCTATTCAGGTCCTCTGCTGCCCACTTTTTTTTTTTTTTTGAGAGAGAGAGTGAGCAAGCCCAAGAATGCACATGGCGTGGGGGGCGGAGGGGCAGAGGGAGAGGGAGAGAGAGAATCTTAAGCAGCCTCCATCACAGAGCCATCGCAGAGCTCGATCTCAGGACCATGAGAACAGGACCCTGAGATCATGACCTGAGCCTAAATCAAGAGTCTGATACTTAAACAACTGAGCTACCCAGACACCCTTCCTCTGCCCACTTTTTAATCAGGGTGCTTGTTTTTTTTTTGCTGTTGAGTTATATAAGTTATATAAGTTCTTTATATATTTTGGTTTTAGCCCTTTTCAGATTTATTTTTTATTTTATTATTATGTTCAGTTAGCCAACATATAGTACATCATTAGTTTTTGATGTGTTCAGTGATTCATTAGCTGCATATAAGACCCAGTACTCATCACAACAATTGTGTATGGTGTGAGAAAGTGGTCCAGTTTCATTCCTTTGCATGTAGCTGTATAGTTTTCCCAGCGCCATTTGTTGAAGAGACTGTATTTTCCCCATTGTATATTCTTACCTCCTTTGTTATAGAATAATTGACCATATATGCATTGGTTTATTTCTGGGCTCTATTCTGGTCCATTGATCTATGTGTATATTGTTGTGTCAGTATCATACTGTTTTGATTACTATAGCTTTGTAGTAGATCTTGAAATCTGGAATATGATATCTCCAGCTTTATTCTTCTTTCTCAAGACTGCTTTGGCTAGGGGCGCCTGGGTGGCTCAGTTGGTTAAGCGACTGCCTTCAGCTCAGGTCATGATCCTGGAGTCCCTGGATCGAGTCCCGCATCAGGCTCCCTGCTCGGCAGGGAGTCTGCTTCTCCCTCTGACCCTCCCCCCTCTCATGTGCTCTCTCTCATTCTCTCTGTCTCAAATAAATAAATAAAGTCTTTAAAAAAAAAAAAAGACTGCTTTGGCTATTGGGGGCCTTTTGTGGTTCCCTACACATTTTAGGATTATTTGTTCTAGATCTGTGAAAAATGCTACTGGTATTTTAATAGTGATTGCACTGAATCTGTAGATCACTTTGGATAGTATGGACATTTTAACAATAATAATTCTTCCAATCCATGATCATGGTATACCTTTCCATTTGTGTGTGTCATTTTCAATCAATGTCATCAATGTCTTACAGTTTTCAGAGTATAGGTCTTTCACTTCCTCGGTTCAACTTATTCCTAGGTATTTTATTCTTTTTGGTGCAATTGTACATAGGATTGTTTTCCTAATTTCTCTTTCTGCTACTTCATTATTAGTGTATAGCAATGCAACTGATTTTGTATATTAATTTTGTATCCTGCAACTTTACTGAATTCAACTATCAGTTCTAGTGGTGTTTTGGTGGAGTCTTTAGGGTTTTCTATATATGGTATGTCATCTGCAAATAGCGAACATTTCACTTCTTCCTTACCAATTCGGATGCCTTTTTCCCCTTTTTCTTGGCTGACTGCTGTGACTAGGACTTCCAGTGCTATGTTGAATAAAAGTGATGAGTGGACATTCTTGCTTTGTTCCTGATCTTAGAGGAAAAGCTCTCAGTTTTCACCACTGAGTATGATGTTATCTGTGGGTCTGTCATAAATAATCTTTCTTATGTTGAAGTATGTTTAGTATAAACTCATTTTGTTGAGAGTTTTTAATCAACAGTGGATGTTGTATTTTATCAAATGCTTTTTCTGCATCAATTGAAATGATCATATGGTTTTTATCCTTCCCCTTGTTTATGTGATGTATCATAATGATTGATTTGCAAATACTGAACCACCTTTGCATCCTTGGAATAAATTCCATGTGATTGTGGTGAATGATCCTTTTAATATATTGTTGAATTTAATTTGTTAATATTTTGTTGAGGATTTTCACATTTATTTTCATCAGAGATACTGGCGTCTATTTTCTTTTTTGTGTCTTTGTCTTGTTTGGTATCAGGGTAATGCTGGCCTCACAGAAATGAATTTGGAAGCTTTCCTTGCTTTTCTGTTTTTGGAATAGAGAAGAATAGGTATTAACTCTTTAAATATTTGGTAGAATTCCCCTGTGAAGCTATCTGGTCTTGGATTTTTGTTGGGAGTTGTTTTGATTACTGATTCAATTTCATTACTAGTAATCAGTCTGTTCAGATTTTCTATTTCTTCCCGATTCAGTTTTGGAAAACTGAATGTTCCTTGGAATTTCTCCATTTCTTCTAGGGTGTCCAATTTGTTGGCATATAATTTTCATAACATTCTCTCATAATCCGTTGTATTTCTGTGGTGTCAGTTATTTTCCCTCCTTCATATCCAGTTTTATTTGAGTCCTCTCTCTTTTTTCTTGATGAGACTAGCTAAAGGTTTATCAATTTCGTGCATCTATTCAAAGAACCATCTCTTGGTTTCACTGATCTTTCCTATTGTTTAAGTCTCTATTTCATTCATTTCCATGCTAATCTTTATTATTTCCTTTCTTCTACTAGCTTTGGGCTTTGTTTTTCATTTTCTAGCTCCTTTAGTTGTAAGGTTAGATTGTTCACTTGAGATTTTTCTTATTTCTTGAGATAGACCTGTATTGTAATAAACTTCCCTCTTAGACCTGCTTTTCCTGCATCCCAAAGATTTTGGATCTTTGTGTTTTCATTCTCATTTGTCTCCATGTATTTTTTGGTTTTCTCTTTGATTTCTTCATTGATCCACTGGTTGTATAGCAGTATGTTATTTAGCCTGCATGTGTTTGTATTTTTTTCCAGTTTTCATATAATTGGTTTCTAGTTTCAACTGTTACGGGTGGAAGAGATGCTTGATAAGATTTCAGTCTTTTTAAATTTATTGAGACTTGTTTTGTGGGCTGACATGTGATCTATCCTAAATAATATACCATGTGCACTTGAACATGTATTCTGCTGTGTTTGGAGGGAACGTTCTGTTAGGTCCATCTGATTTAATGTGTCATTCAAAGCTACTGTTCCCTTATTTTCTCTCTGGATGGTGTACCCCTTGATGTAAATGGGGTGTTATAGTCCCCTACTATTACTGAATATCAATTTCTCCCAACTATGTCTCTGCCCCTCCTACCCTTGTTGATGCAGTCTTTTCTCTATGACTAGCTGGGCAAAGTCTGTACCACCAATCTTCAGGTCATTTTCAGAGTTAGTTGTACAGGTGTAGCTGTTGTTTCGGTGTGTCTATGGGATGAAGTGAGCTCAGGATCCTCCTATTCCACCATCTCCCTACTTCTCTATGATCAACTGATTTTTGACAAAGTGCCAAGACCATTCAATAGAGGAAAGAAGAGTCTTTTCAACAAATGGTGCTAGGACAACTGGACAGTCACATACAAAAGGAAATTGGACCTTTGTATGACACTATATATAAAATGAATTTAAAATGGATCAAAGTCTGAAATGAGCTAAACTAATTCTTAGAAGAAAATATAGAGATAAATCTTCATGACCTCAAATTTGGCAATAGTTTCTTAGATATGACACCAAAGCACAAGTAATAAAAGAAAAAAAAAAGTAGATCAATTAGACCTTATCAGAATTACAAACTTCTATGCTTCAATAGATATTATGCTGAACATGAAAACACTATCAGCAGAATGGGAGAAGATATTTGTAAGTCAAATATCTAATAAGGGACTTGCATCTAGAATATATTAAAAAAACTCTTATAACTCAACAATAAAAGGACAACCCATTTGAAGAAGAGGCAAAAGATGTGAATAGACATTTCTCCAAAGTAGATATATGAATGCTCAGCTGGCATCTGAAAAGGTGCTTGACATCATTAGTCATGAAGAAAATGCAAATCAAAACCCACAAGATACCCACAGTGAGATTCTCTGTACCCATGAGGATGGGTATAATAAAAAATCAGATAATAACAAATACAGGCTTTGATGTGGAGAAACTGGATCCATTACATACTGCTAGTGGGAATGTAAGATGTGGCACCACTAAGATGATGCAGAAAATGGCCGGTTTCTCCAACAGTTCAACGGAGAGTTATTATGAGACCTAGCAATACCACTCATAGGCATATACTAAGAAAAATTAAAAACAGGTATTAAAAAAAAATAATGGTACGTGAATGTTTATGGCAGCATTATTCACAATAGCCAAAAGGTAGAACTAATCCAAATGTCCATCAACTGATGAACAGATAAACAAAATGTGATATATTCACATAATGGACTATTTTCCCACAATTAAAGGAGTAAAAAGGAATGAAGTACTGATATATGCCTCAATACAGATGACCCTTGAAAATATTATGCTGAGTGAAAGAAACCACAAAAGAACACATATTATTCTATTTATATAAAATACTCAGAGTAGGCAAATCCGTTGAAACAAAAAGTGGATGAGTGGTGAAAAGTTCAACGTTATTTCCAACAGACTGAAGCTACATCTTCAAGTAAAAGGAATACGTATCGGTCATAGTGTTTTTTATTTTCTCAATCACGTAATTAGACTAAAATATTTTCAGTCTTTTGCCCGCATATTTTTAAATATCATTAATTCATTTTAAATTTCATTTAACCTATCTATACTATTTAGATGAATTTGAAAGGAATATTACACCGATTCTACTTGATATAGTGCACTTAAAAAACACTAATACACCTTTGTAAGTCCCCAACCAGCCCTATCTTCTCTTCATTTTACTGTTAGCTTCATTCTAGTAACAGTCATCTTCAGATGCATGAAATAATTAAAGAAAACAAGCTGTTCCACCAAGAGATGCCCTTGTAAAAAAAATCAACTTTTAAAGTCTATTTATAAAAATTTATAATATATATAGTTTTGATTATATACTAATAAAATAATTCCAAAGATATTTTCTAACACTTGGCCTTAGGGTCACAGTAAATATATTTTTAAAAATAATACATACCAATATTTTTTGTTGCCAGGAAATAACAGAGTGATCAATAAAAGACTTTCAAGATAAAGGATAAAATTCTTTGGGGTAAGTGGATGGAAATCTGAGTTCAGGTAGAAAAAGGAATGATGTGAAATCTCTGATTGTTAAAGGGCTTGTTCATGTATTTTTTAAATGGGTGATGTCATGTACCAAATTGCTATGGGATCTCAATTTCACTGGATATATTTGAAAGAATGATGTAATCATTTTATGTTTAAATGTCAATATTTGCAGTATGTGGAAAATTCCATCTTTGTAAGAAAGTCATGATAGAAAGTTTTTATGACATTTAAAAAAATGTGTAAGGGGGTACATTGTTTTTAAGACTTCTTTTAAGAATAACTGCTGTAGAGTATATGTACAAAATTGTTTTCACATTTACTAGATATTGCCAAATTGCTCTCTAGAGTAGTTGTTTAGACTTACACAGGGTGTGAAGACTCTCTTTCCTCACAGCACCGCCAAAACTTGGGGTTTGTCAGGCTTTTTAATCTTTTCCAATCCAAATGTGAAAAGGTACCATATTCTAATCTGCCTTTGCTCCCCAGTTCTCTCCTTGCTTCGCTCTCAGCACATCTTGCTAATTCTTTAAGTCTCATCTTAAAGATCATTTCCACGCAGAAGCCTGCTCTGTCCACCCTGTTTTAGTAGATCCCCACCCCCACTTGTTCTCTGTCTCACTCCATAGGTTATACCCTTCACTATACTTACCAAGGCCTGACGCAGTAATCTCTTTGCCTATTTTTATTTTAGATGATTAGTTTTTGGTCAGTCGCTCCTACTAAAATGTAAGCTCCACGAGGCAAAGTCCCTGTCCAGTTACTTGTGTGTAGTAGCAGAGTATCTGGGCACAATAGACAATAAATACTGCTGAATGAATGAATGTTGTGGGCCTGAGTAATGAAATTGTATTAACTCTACCCTTCCTTCACAAGACCTCCAATAATCCATTGGGAACGTAGTCCTTGGCTTGTTTTCTTCCTCTTGGCCATGCTCCTTAATTTTATTCTGGATGAACTTCTCTGTGTTTACCCCCACAAATGCTTTTGCAGTGAACCGTGCTGAACATGCAGAAATGACAATATGAAAATACAGGTTAAGGGCTCCCCAACTATGCTGTCTTGGAAAAGTTACCTTACTTTCTGTACCTTGGTGACTTAATCCTCCTGTGCCCCCATTTTCTCATCTGTAAAATGGGAGTAAGTGAACCTACTCAGTAAGATGTTGTGCTGAATGAATGAAGTAACACTGGTAGGATCTCCTTAATACAGTTCCTGAAACACAGTAAGTACTCACTAAATGTTAGTTAAGTCTACCATATTCAGTATTATCCTAAGAAATTCAAGTGTTATAACATCTAATCATAACTTAAATAACAGGTAGACTGATAGCATTGTAAGAATTTCACATATATATTGGCTAACTGAACAAAATAATAATAAAAAAAGAACTTCACATACAGAGTTTTTCAAATAACAAGAGAAATCATTATCTTTGCAAACTGAGAAAGCAGTTTTAATAAAGCTGGCAGTAAAATATGACAGAATTGCCAGAGTATATATAGCTTTTAAAAAAATCTTTCCTTCAGAGATACTGATAATTGACCTAAAAATTCTAAAAGTAGACTTGACTTTCTAGTTGTCTTTTCTGTTAAGTTTGATGACTGGATAAAAAAAGAGCCGGTTACAATTTTTATAATGATTTCCTGGCTTCCAAACCCAAGTGCTATGGATCCAGGCACTATTCCAGTCAAGATTTTATAAATTTCTCCCTTTCTCTTCTTTTAACAATGCTCAGAGAAATAACTTCTAACAAGCATTTCAGTAACAGTAAGCTTGATTCAGCATATCTCCTATCATCATTTTGAGACCACCAGACGTGTCATTTGACTCCACCTTCCTCGGTGGAAGTCGTACATTTGGTACTGACCATAATATTAACCAAACTGTGAACATTTTGGACACCAGACCAACTGTTGGTGTTAGGAACTGGAGACTTCCTGCAGTGAAACCACACATTCGTGTAACTTCAACCCCATTACCAAAGGCCCTGGAATGCATTAAAAATTGCTAAAATGTCCCTTTTTGAAAACATTAATTGAATGTCATTTTATATTGAGATGGCAAACAAAATGCAGATTGACCATAAGGTGTATTTTGATACATTTAGTAACATAACAGAGTCTGTTAAATTTAGTTAAAGTTACTGTGGAAAAATAAATGGCTAGTCGGAAAGAGGCTTCAAGAATGTAGTCAATTAATATTAACAAATGTTAAAAATTATCATTTAAAAAATGATATGCCAGCTAATATATCATTGGCTCAAAAGAGCTTCCAGTGGTATCTGAAACTTTCAAGAATTCCTTTTCTCATTTAGAAATAAGTTAAAAAATTCCTCATGGGCTTAATTCATATTGGCTCAAATACATCAAAAGATGATTGTCTACTAAAAATATTTTAAGAATTTTGTAAGTACATGTAAAGAAACCGAATGGCTTTAAGAAATTCAGCCATATGAGTATAAGTAGTGACCTTCATTTTTGCAGTTAAAAAATGTGCATCCTAATTGTAAAAATGGCTAAAGCAGTATAATACAGAGGAAAGAAATGAATTAGGAATCAGAAGGTCAACTGCATTCATCTATTCAAAAAATATTTGAGTCTCTATAGTGTGTCTGGCACAACGCATGGCAGTAGACAGAGTGGAGAATAGGGCTGCTTTGGTCAGGATTATAGTACAGGGGGCAAATTTGACAAAACCCTAGGAGAACAACTGGGAAGTGTTACAAGGAAGGAACAGCAGGCAATGAGAAGAAATGGGACAGGTGGTGGGCAAGAAGGGGAGGAAGAAGTGAATTCTGACTGCACATATGATCAAATATTTTTTTTAAGTGAAAACCCTTTAAACTTACGTGACTCAACTGCCGTACTTATAAGTTAAAATATTTGAAATCTGGGAATAATTATTATTGAAAACTTTTTGTTTCAATAATCTAACTCCGAAAAGACTTCAAGTTTTAAAATCCAATTCAATGGTACAGTATCTGGTACAGTTACTAAAGCATAACCAAAGATCATCAAAATTCCATCATGATTTAGAAAAGCCAATTGAAAGAGCCTTTTTTTCTTTTTTAGAATCCACATATAAGTGAGATCATATGATATTTGTCTTTCTCTGACTTATTTCACTTAGCATAATGTCCTCAGGTCCATTTACAAATGGCAAGATTTCATTCTTTTTTATGGCTGAATTATACACACACACACACACACCACATTTTCTTTATGCATTCATCCACTGATGGACACTTAGGTTGCATCCATGTCTTGGTTACTGCAAATAATGATGCAATGAACATGGGGGTGCATATACCTTTTCAAGCTAGTGTTTCCTTTTCTTTCAGATAAATACCTGTAGAAGTAGAATTGCTGGATCATAGGGTGGTTCTATTTTTAATTTTTTGAGAAGCCTCCATATTGTTTTCCATTAGTGGCTCTGCCACTTTACATTCCTGCCAACAGTGCACAAGAGATCTCTTTTCTCCACATCCTTGCCAACACTTGCTATTTCTTATCTTTTTGATAATAGCCATTCTGACTGGTATGAAGGGATAGCTCATTGTGGCTTTAATGTGCATTTTCTTGATGATGTAGAGCACCTTTTCATGTATCTGTTGGCAATCTGTAGGTCTTCTTGGAAAAATGTCTATTCAGATCTTCTGCCTATTTTTAATTAAAACTTTTTTTCCTGCCTATTTTTTTAATGGGATTGGGGGGGTTCATTATTGAGTTGGAGGAGTTCTGTATATATTTTAGTTATTAACCTCTGACCAGATATATGTTTTGTAAGTATTTTCTCCCATGCCATAAGTTGCCTTTTCATTTTGTTGATTGTTTTCTTTGCTGTGCAGAAGCCTGTTTGATATAGTCCCACTTGTTTATTTTTGCTTTTGTTGCTTGTGCTTTTGGTGTCATATCCCAAAAATCATTGCCAAGACCAATGTCAAGGAGTTTCCCACCTGCGTTTTCTTTTAGACGTTTTATGGTTTCAGGTCTTACGTTCAAGTCGTTATCCATTTTGAGTTGATTTTTTGCATTTAGTTTAAGACAGTGGTCAAATAAGTAAATAAAATCTTTAAAAAAAAAAAAAAAGACAGTGGTTGAACTTCATTCTTTTGCATGTGGCTGTCCAATTTTCCCAGCGCCATTTATTGAGGAGCCTGTCCTTTCCCCATTGTTTATCTTGGTTCTTTTGTCATAAATTAACTGACCATATATGCGTGGGTTTATTTCTGGGCTGTCTATTCTGTTCCACTGAGCTATGTGTCTGTTTTTATGTCAATAACAAACTATTTTGACTACTGTAGCTTTGTAGGATAGTTTGAAAACAGGGAACATGATGCTTCCTTGGTTAAATTTATTCCTGGGTATTTTATTCTTTTTGATGCAATTGGAAAAATAATACTAGTATTTAGATGAGCTTTTCAACACCGTCTCATCTTTTTACATTTTATTTCACAAATGTGATATTTTAATGGCTATTATGTTTGTAATGAGAGTATATCCAGCTACAAGTATTGTTAAGGATTGTGATAGCTCTCAGATAATGGTTAAGAATTTTTATATGGAAAACAAGATGTTCTCATAACCAGATTTGACCAAGAACTTTTACTTCAATAGTAGAGGGTTTCTGGGAAGGAGAGGGAGGAAAGAGGCTAAAAATATTTTAAAGATAAGAGCAAATACTTGCTCTTTTATTTTTTCTTGGTACTAAGACAAAACTGATACTATGAGATTTTATGGACTTTTAAGCCATCTATATATGCTTTACATATATGTCATTCAAATCTGTACAACCACCCTACAGATAAGTGGTATTATCCCTAATTTACAGACAAGGAAAATGAGACACAGAGATATTAAATAGCTGGTCTAAGGTCACAGTTTGTAAACCACAGAACAGTATACTGCTCTTAAAAACTGAACTCCAGGGGCGCCTGGGTGGCTCAATCATTAAGTGTCTGCCTTCAGCTCAGGTCATTATCCC